ACCCCTTCCCACACAGCCCCCCGCGCCGCTCTTGAGCGGCTGCCTCGGCTGCTGGGACAGGAGCCAAAGGATTGCCACCTGAAGGTGAAAGCACGGACAGACCCAGGCGCATGGCAAAGGGGTGTGCCCGTTCCCCGGGGGCAGTCTGGGGTGGTGGGTGCTCAGATAGGCCCTGGGAGCCCTGCTGTGCACGGCCGCACTGGGCTGGCGGTGCCAGGAGCGCTTGTCCCTGCACAGCTGCGCAGCTGCCAGGGCCGCCTCGGCAGCTAGCCAGCCCTGGTGCCATCTGGACACTGCCGTGGGCCCATGGCGCTGGGGGGCCAAACAATGGTGGCAGCTCCATGCCCGCTCTGCCCACTCAGCAGGGCCGGGTGCCCAGGCTGGAGCAGTGGGGCGATGTGGGGCCTGCAGACCCCAGAGGGAAGTGCCACGTTCCCCGGCCCCTGCCCTGATCCACAGAGTGTCCCCGTGGGACTGCAGCTACCCCTTCTCCCTGCTGGGCAGAGTGGCCACCCCAGCTCTCTGGCCTCAGCCTCTGCCCTCGCAGTGCACTAAGCCCAGGGGGTCTTTACAAGACCCTGGCACTGCTGACCACGGTGCTCTGCTCTGGCCCCTCTCTGCCAACCCCGGAGGACAGCACAGGGCTCTGCCCGTGGCGCTGGCTCCATGGCACACCTCCGCTGGGCTGACCCAGGAGTGTCCCTGGGAGCGGGGTGGGGTGGGTGTCTGACGCGTTGGCCTTGCCAGGCAGCTGGGGACCCTGCGCCACCGTTGCCACTGGGCTTTGCCATCGGCCGGCCATGCTCCTGGGGGCCGACTCGGCTTCCAGCTCTCCAGGTTGGCACCGGGTCCTTTTGCCAGCCCCACAGCACCTCCCGCCCTGTTCCCATGGCACCTGGGGCTGCGTCCGGCTGTGCCATGCTGGCCTAGCAAACCTGCCAGGGAGTCAAACAGAAACCTTCCCCGAGAGTGGCCTCCTGTATCGGACTTGGAGCTGTGTCTGTCGGTCCCGTGCCAGCTCTTCTGCCTCCTGCGCCCGCTGCACCGTGTGCTGCACCCACCTCTGTGACAGCCTCTGGGGCCCTTTCCCTGCCCCCGCTCCTGGCCTCCTGCTGTTCCTAGTGCAGGCACGTGTGCGTGGGGATGAGCCAGCCCGAAACGTCCCGCAGGATTCCAGGGGGTTGTTGTGGGCTGACCCCAGCCAGCAGTCGAGCACCCACGCAGGCC